TGTTTAGGTATTTTTTACTGGAAGACAAATCAAAAATATAGATAAAAAATTGGCAAAATATAAGAACTTTTGCGGAAGTGTTAAAGGATATTCATTATGTTGTATGCTCTCATTAGTGCGTTTTAAGACAATTTTATTCATTAACGAATTGCAGAGATATAAAACTGAAAATCAATGCATGAAGCCCAGTTCTAATTTATTACTCAATCCTGCCTTTGCTTTAGCAAAGTAGTGTTGATTTTACTGTAGATCCAATACCTCCTACCTTATTTTACTTCAGCATGTTTGGCCTTCAGGTACTGTATCCCATGAGGTATGTGTCGTGTGTTTGGTTGCCAGTGTGTGACGCTGTGTCTCTGCATGTGTCAGGGGGGTTTTCCACCTCATGTTTGCAGTGAACATTCAAAGAACAATGTGTAGCCTTGCATGCTCATCGGCTCCTAGCAATAGCAGCAGAGCGCATGATGATACAGTTCATACTGGATGAAAAAGTAATGCTTTTTGCTTCTCAGGATTTCATCAATATCTTCTAACTAACTTTTTATTTTGTTTAAATAATGATAAATCTTATTGTTGGGCAGTCCTGAGTGCTATGTTCAGCCTACTTCATCAGTCCAAAAATGGCAGTATTGGGAATGGTTAATGTTCATTGGCAAATTTAATATACAGTGGCCCTAAAAAAGTCACACTTAAAAATGTATGAATGCCATTGCATTATATTTACACTTTTAAAGCAAAAAAAATTCACAAGGTTTCCCATGACAAAACAATTGTTCAAAATGAAGACAAAGTATTTTGTGATTTGTGTGAACTTGAGGGAAACTGACTTCATGCATCGACCAAAAATTTACTTAAAGGGATACTCCACCGTTTTTTCATATTAAACTATGTTATTCTCTTATCTAAGACGAGTTGATACATACCTCTCTTGTCTCAGTGCGTGCACTGAATCGCTCTGTCGGGCGGAGAACTTTGAGAGCAGTTAGCTTAGCCCAGTTCATTGTATATGGGCCAAACAGAGATGAAGTTAGAAGCGACCAAACACATCCACGTCTTCTCTATTTAAATATAGTTACACGAGTAGTTACACGACCAAGTATGGTGACACTAAATAAAATGTGGCGCTTTTTATAAGCGGGTAAAATGGATAACTATAATGTATGGCGGAATAGCACTTATTGGGAGCACTTCGACTCGGCGCTGTAATATCTTCACTCGTGAAAAGTCCTCTCCCCCCTCTCCCTCTCCCTGATACTTCGTCAACTCTGCACAAAAAACTAATACTACTGCAGGCGTGCAGGTCACGTTGGTTCTATTGACGGAAATGACCGGGAGAGGGAGAGGGGGGAGAGGACTTTTCACGAGTGAAGATATTACAGCGCCGAGTCGAAGTGCTCCCAATAAGTGCTATTCCGCCATACATTATAGTTATCCATTTTACCCGCTTATAAAAAGCGCCACATTTTATTTAGTGTCACCATACTTGGTCGTGTAACTACTCGTGTAACTATATTTAAATAGAGAAGACGTGGATGTGTTTGGTCGCTTCTAACTTCATCTCTGTTTGGCCCATATACAATGAATGGGGCTAAGCTAACTGCTCTCAAAGTTCTCCGCCCGACAGAGCGATTCAGTGCACGCACTGAGACGAGAGAGGTATGTATCAACTCGTATTTTATAAGAGAATAACATAGTTTAATATGAAAAAACGGTGGAGTATCCCTTTAACACCAGTTGGCCAAAAGTTAGTTCTGAGAAAAGGTCAAGCATCTTTTGGTTTATATATATTTTCCTAATGCAATGATATTCATACATTAAGTGTAACTTAAGTGTCCATATAATTTTTATGACCAGTTGCATGGGGTTCAACTGCTGTTGAGGTTTGTATATAATTATGATACAAATTTCTCTGATTTTATGTCCAGTGAATTGACCTGAAAGTTCTGTCAGTATAGTGGTTCTTAACGTGAGAACTGCATGCATTTTATGGGTTGTACTGTTCTGGCAGAACTCAAACTGTGGTTTTGAGTCTCATATGACCAAATGTTGCATGGCCTATAATCTGTCAGCAAAAATAATTTACAATGTTCTTTCCCTATCTCTGATGCGCACCAAAGGTCGCATTCCATTGGGTAAGATATTGTGTCCATAGATCCCAGATAGAGATGAGCGATAGCTGCTTTTCTTTTAGCATCTGCATGATGCATGAGAACAGTGATGGTGCTGAAACTAAATCTGACTTAAAGACAGGACTCCCATAAATAATCAATATGGGTGTGAAGGGGTATTCAAATATCTGAGCAGTTAATATGAATATTTCAATACAATTTCAATGAGTGTCATTGATTCTAACATTGTGTGGAGTCATAAACTCTTTAGAATAGATCATGAGATCTGAAATGGTTCAATGTCTGAGACTATGGCATAGCATTATAGACTGGTCTTATTTTATTTTAAATTTTCAGCAAATCAAGGTAGATCCAAAGCCACAATCATTTCTTTGACTCCCACATTGACTGTATGTTGTTTACTAAATCAGCTTCTTTTGCTTTTCTTTGTGAACTATTTATGACAAATAATGCATACTCTTTGATAAATAGCAGAACCCCTTTCTTCCACCTGCTTTGAGTAGATGTTTTTTTTATCAAGCACGTGGTTTCGTTTCTATGCATTAACAGAAAGTGCAAAATGATCTGTACAGTTACCCAGTTCACATGCAGCTTACTACCAGTATAGCTATAACAGCAATCTTTGCCTTTATGGGATAGTTATACGTATACGGTTCAAAACCGTTCAAAGGTTTGGGGTCAATATTTTATTTTTGAAAGAATTTAATACTTTTATTCAGCACCGATGCAATAAATTGATACAAAGTGACCGTAAAAAGACATCTATATTGTTACAAAAGATTTCTATTTCAAATAATATTATAAAAATATTAAGTCTTCTGTTTTCAACATTGATGATAATAAGAAATGTTTCTTGAGCAGCAAATCAGCATATTAGAATGATTTCTGAAGGATCATGTGACACTGAAGACTGGAGTAATGCTGCAGAAAATTCAGCTTTTCCATCACAGGAATGAATTACAAAAATCTAAACGACCCCAAACTTTTGAACGGTGGTGTAGATGTAGTGAAACTTAATACAACTAGAATTATTAGCATTTTATGTGTCTTATTTGCCATGTATTTCTTTGTCCATGATGATGATTGAACCTCTCTTTTGCTTGGCCATGCTTTCATGGGACAGCTATTCTATACGCCATTCAATGAGCATGCCTGCAATGAGGTAAATATGTGTAACAGCTTGCTTTGCATGTTTTTTCTTTCATTGAATTTAATAAAACTTTTTAAAGCATCAAAAAATGTGATACCACATATATCATATGCATATATAAAACAGTACACTACAGGTTAAGTGTTTAATACAGTCCGATTTATACCGTCGTGGTTTTGTTGCATTAAAAAAATGTAAATAATGGTAATACCTGGATGTTAGGACTCCCTTTGAATGGACCAAGTTTAAAGTTAGATTAGGGTTGGTGAAATGCGTAAAACTAAATTGTCTTTATTCCACAGGAACTCACCTAGTTTCAAGTCCTTTGAGGAGAAAGTCGAAAGCACAGTTTCAAACATTAAGGTAAGCCTGACATAAAATGACCTTATTAGTGGTCAAACACTAACTTTGTTTGTCCCTTAGTTCAGTGCTGTTAATAATTGATCAGCTTATCATTGGGAGTTTTCGACTTCACTGTGCTTGTTGTCGACATACTATCCAATGTTATGAGAGTTTTGTGTTGTGAGCAGTCAAAGGTTGGAGGAACAGGAGGTGCAGGAAGTTTTGAAGAGGTCCTGTCATCAGCGGCCCATGCCAGCGCCCAGGACACCCCTACTAACAACGTAACTGAGAGCAGTGAGCGCTCATGCTGAAGATGTCAAAGGTCTACAGGTGGAACTGTGATGCCTCCTAGTGGTCTGGAGACCACAGTGAAAATTGCTCTGGGGGCCCACGACACAGTAATACATGCCTTCAGATGTATGCTGGTGGATTATCCGTGCAAAATATTTATTATTTTTGTACGGAAGGAAAACAACCAAGTGGAGCATGTTTATTCTTTAACTTTTCTTCAAAATATGTATATTTTTCAAGGAGACTGCCTTTGGTGTAGTACTGCGTTACTTTATCATTATTTATACTAACTCAACATTGTGTTAACAGCAACAAAGCATGATACATTTCCAGGACCAAAAATAATGGCTGAATATCCAATCCTAAAAGAAGTACTTGAAAGAATGTTTAACTAAATGGATGTTAACATGCTTTTTTCCTGTCACAAATCTGTTAATGCTCCTTTTCCTGCAGTATACCACACAACTAGAGCACATGATAACAGATGCAAACAGCAAATTGAGGATTTATGTTTTACTGCAGTCTATTAATTTATCTAAAATGCCTGGTGTGAATTATGAATTGGTAACAATAATTGTCACTGACCAAAAATGTATAGCATTATTATGTCGTTTTTTTTCTTCTTTTCTTCGTACATTTGTGTAAAATTTGTTGCAGCTTTACATATTTAACATTGACATTTAAGTCAATTGTTGTTTTAAGGAAGAGGATTTCATAACCGAAATCTTTCTTCAAAGTGTTGTGTTGAGCTGCGTTAGTCATTAAACGTTTTTTTGCAAAGTCACCAAGTCCTGGCTCATCAGTCATGAAATAAAGGTGAACTGAACTGAAATCATAAACCATAACATGAGGATTAATTTTACTGTTCCCTCATCATTAAGACACTAAAGTCTCTGCAAAGACCTTCGATTTTTTTGTGTTGCCCCTGCTTTATGCTTTGCTTTCCACTTTTTCTGTCAAAATTTCAGAACTGTAGAACTGATTATGTTTACAAACATATTTTGAAAGTTGTTAGAATTATTGCAGGACGAGTTGTTTACATTTCCCTTGTGTTTATGTGTTTAACATAGTAAAATCAGGTTCAGTGGTCATAAAATATGCTTTTTATTAAAGAATGTAATACAGGAAGGCAGTAAAATACTGATCAATAGAAAAGAAAAGAACTTCTGGAGGTTAAAAAACACAGTTTCACATATTCCCATTTGATTTTAATAAAAAGGTTGATTTCTATTAATAAAATTACAACCGTGGAAACAAACCATGTCCTGCAGAACATTCAAACAAATAGGAACATCACACAACCACAAACCATGCTTCTGTACAATGAAATAAGACAATAAAACAGAATATCTCGACAAAATAAACACTCTTGTGCACAGACGTGTGGAGGTAGCTTCATTGCCTGACAGGAATGGTGATCATGGTGTTGCTAGGGTGTGAGAGCTTGTGTCAGTGGTCTTCTCAGTAGCATTATCTCCTTTGGCAGCGATGTGGCGAGCTCTTTCCTCATTCAGACTCTTCACCAGACTCAACACCTCTGGGTGATGGAACCTGCCTGTGATGAGAGGGGAAAATACATCTGAGTCATATAGCTGTCAAAAGAGTTAGTGTATGTCCTTAAGACAAAGGTCTCTATCTGTCTAGATCAGGGGTGCCAAACTCGCACGTCCTGATTTTGCAGAGTTAGACGCGTTGATCCTGGTACAACATTCCGTTCCGAAATTTTAGTTTTGACCATATCCCTGACCCTAAACCTAACCCTACACTCAAGTTATCCCTAAAAGGTATAGGTGAATCACACTGATGTAGAAGCACTTAACCCTGGTTGTAAGCCTAAACTTGACATGAACTGTAAACTTGTCCCTCAAATCTGATTGGTTGGTTGGAATGTTGTTCTAGGATCAACAAGGATGTTGACCCAGGAACATGTTGCACTTGGTGAAATCAAGTTCTGTGCTACACAGTCCTGCAGAGTTTAGTTCTAAACCTGCTCAAACACACACACACACACACCTGTAGTTTTCAAATAATCCTGAAGGACTTGAGTAGCTGGATCATGTGTGTTTATTTAGGGTTGAAGCTAAACTCTGCAGGAATGTGGCCCTACAGAATTGAGTTTGACATCCCTAATCTAGCAATATAAAGTAGGGGTGAATTAGATCACAAAACTCATGGTTCGGATCATACTGTGTTTTTTGAGTCATTGATCGGATCATTTTTTGGAAAACTTTGTTTTCTATTTATTATTTAAAGAACACCTTAAGTACTTCAATACCACAGCAAAAGCCAAAAGCTACTAGCCAAACTAATAAAATTTAAGTAAACAGTACTTTCCAGGTAGTTCCAACAGTAGTATTCAGGTACAGAAATTGAATAATCAAATGAAAAATAGCACTGCAGAGTCTTCACTGTATCAATGAAATATAATTAATATTTGTTAAAGCCGATTTTCTCTTTGTCTTTTGTTGCTTTGTCATCTTCTTGTGCTTGAATGGTTTACAATTGCTTGAGTGTTTAAATTGGCAGGACTTAAAAACAAATATAAAATGTAAATGATAAACTTTCACTTAATGATTATCAAACTTTGCAATTACTCTGCGAATCACATGCGTGCCGAACGGTGGGACTGGGTAGTACAATCCGTCACACCCCTAATATAAAGCTATTGCATTTAAATCAATAATTGCAAGTATAAAAACTATAGGGCTAGGCTATTGCAAAATGGCCTATTCAAAAATATGCAAATATTTGTAGAGTGTGGTGAGAGAATCGATTTGCAGTTCTTTGTAGGAGTGAACAGCCACTGTTGAGCACATCTAATACAATTTACTTTGCTTGCTCTTCTTAGAATTACTTATCTAATTAGATCCTGAGCTTGTAGAAGTTAGAAAACAAGATCAAACCTTCAGTGGAGGTGAAGAACTCCTGGAGTCTTCCAGGTTTCCCCTCCAACTCTTCATATTCATGAGCTTGTATTATCATCTCCAGCTGGTCGAACTCTTTCACCAGTTTGGCTTCTGGACTGGACTGAGCCTCATACTCCTATGAGGGATGCAGTCCAGTTTATAATGTCATTCTGAACCCCCCCAAAAAAAGAGAGGAACTTGGTCCTGTGATTTCGTTTTGATCATTAACTGACCTCCCATAAGTTGTAAATCTCTTTCCGCAAGCCATCATCTAACAGGCCTGTGATGTGCACCATTGCCTCCTAAAAAGAAAGATTCTTAATGTTTAATGTGTACACAAACAAAATATTTTAAATGTGAAATTAAACTTAAAACCATCATACATTTTCCCTTCTGTGCTTCTCTGTTTTGCTAACATTGTCTGCAGGAGCAATATCTCCCACAATACACTCAGCCAAGTCATGAACTAAGGCCAGCTTCATGCATCTGTGAAGAGAAGATGATCAATTATGTGAATGCATCTAAATGAACTGCTCGTTATTATTTACTTTGCACATTTTAGAATTATTTTCTTTGTTTTTTATTTAAAAAAAATGTTTTTATTAAACTTTTAGAATTGTAAAGATATTTATACATTTTGTACAATTTATGTTGCTTGAAATTAGCTTTCTAGAACATTTATGCATACGCCTCAACAGTTTTTTTAATTAAAACTTTGACTGGTATGAATATGTATATGAATTAATAAATAAATCGAACGAGTGTGATTGAAACAAAATGAACCGCACAAGTGTGAACGAATCCTAAGGAATCGAACACGTGTAAATGAATCTAGATGATTCACACAAGTGTGAATGAATCTAAATGAACAGCGCTAATGTGAAGGAATCTCAATGCACTGCACAAATGTGAATACATCTCAATAAATTGCACAAATGAGAATGGATCTAAATGAACTTCACAAATGATCAATCAGTCTAAGTGAACCGAACAATTGTGAATGAATCAAAATGAACTACACAAATGTCAATCAATCTCAATAAACTTCACAAGTATGGACTCTTCTCTAAACCCCGCCTTAAAATCTCTACTAACCAATCATACTCTAGCAACTGTTGCCACACAAACTTTTGTTTCTCTCACAACGAGGATCTGTGTTTGTTTGGATAGATTTATGGAAATTATCGAAAAACACGTTACAGCGTCGTTGCTAAGTTAGCTGCTAACGTTACTTATAATCTTTAACACAAGAACCCGAGGAGGATATAACTAGTATTTTGTTCATCTTTTTCTCAACCTTATGTGAATAAGCGCGTGCTGTGGATTAAACTGTCAAAACTCATTCATAAATAAACAGAAGAAACATCAACGTTAGTTCAAAGGTAAATAGTCGACATATATGTAAATAATCCTCGATTTTATGACCCCCTCATACAAACCTTTCTTTATTGACACTGATGTCCTGTATTGTTAAGGCCATCATTGACATTCTATACATATGATCAGACACACTCTCAGGCTGTTTGATATTTCTGTACACCCATCCTGTTCGTGGTACGCGCTGTAACACAAGCCAGCGTTAATATAGCATACATGTTAACCTGCAAAACATTGTACTAATACGAATTTCACTCACTTTTAGCTGTCCGACTAATTTCATGAATTGTAACATGTTGTCCATTCCGTTGACCGTTACACCAACCAATGGAATGCCGAGTGCCGACGTCAACGACCCGGATGTAAAACCACAGCGTCCAATAGAGAAAAGTGAGAGAGTAATAACCGGTAATAACATATAGCCGCCACTAGATGGTGACAGAATACAAGCAAGTCAATGGAGTCAAGTCAAGCAAAATCTGTAAGTAGGGGAGAGGGGGGGCGAAAGTACCATTTTTCAGAAAAACATCTTTTTAAAAGATGATGGTTTAGACAGAGATATATTTTTGCTGTGGTCAGTCACTCACAAGTGTGGTCTATTAATACCAGGTGGTATTTTGTAAAAATGTAGAACAACTTCAGTATAATTTCACTTTGAACTTAAAGGAGCTGTATGTAAGATTGTGGCCAAAATTGGTACTGCAATCACTTTCAAATTACTGTAGAGCGGTGTATCCCCTCCCCCTCCCCCCTGACTCGAGGTTGCCAGATAGGCTGCAGGATCCAGCAGGAACGTAGGCTGCTACAAGGAGCTTTCAACTAGAGCAGAGCTGGCAACCCGGATGCCGAAACACTACTGACTTCGTGATTGGTAGATAGGTGGAGGGTGGGGCTTCAGGCCAAAACACAAGATGACAACATCAACATCAGTTGAGGGCTGCAACTGCACTTTTTAAATGACAATATCGTGGCCGTAGTACTGTTGTCAGTGATATAAGTATTTGAAATGAACATGATTTCTTAATGTCTAGAGACATATCAGGGCCATTTTATGATTAATTGAAATACATTTCTTACATACAGCTCCTTTAAGACTGCTTATGTTACTTTCGACCCCGTCAGTTGGGACGAAAGTAACACACAGGTGGGTCAAAAGTAACACAACAATATACAAGCTAGATTTTTTGTGTTACTCTTGTTTGTTTTTTTTTTTTTTTTTTTTTGCCTAAATATACCCGAGTATGACCTTGTTAAAATGTAACTGCAAACATATTTTAGCCTTTATCTTTGCAAAAAATGGTTAATTTACATTTTTTCATTTTAAATGTCAGTTTCATCAAATGTTTCAAAAGTAACCCAACAGTACATACTTGAATTGTTTAGAATATTTTTTTTTATTGTCAATCCATTTTAAAATGTTTTTTTTCAACATGAAAAATATGAAAATGAAATGAAATTAGCATAATATAAATTCTCAACATAATGTAACAATAGTCATGTTTCCATCCAGCTGTTTTTATGCACAGCCTACATTTAAAATGTGCATAAAAAACATCTGGATAGAAATCCTGCAAATGCATAGGTGGAGGTGTTAAAGCTATAAGGTATGGCTAAAACCTAAATGTGACTAGGGTAAATGGAAACAGATTGAGTGAAAAAAATGGTGACACAGAAATCAGCTGATTTAAATGTGACTTAAGCTTTAAAAGCCCCCTCATAAACATCTGCCATATTCTGTTGGTATAATATGACATAAATATGTTTTAATAAATGCTGCAACACACAGAAAGTCACCACATTAGAGGAGGAACAAAAGAAACATTTGTTTTCCCTATAGCGGGACAAAAGTAACGAGTGTTACTTTCGTCCCGACAGGAACTCCTGACATTTAAACCCGATTTACTTTTATACTGAAAAACTCTGACCAGGCAAACTTCAGGATGTGTTACAGCACTAAATAACCTATAGATTGATCATTACTGTGTGAAACATGAAACGAAAAACACAACTTGTAATTAAAAAAAAGTACCGCTTCAGAAATTTACTTATCATACTGGAAAACTGCTTTCCGGACCTAACCGCGTGAAACGATGATGAAATCACGTGATATTTTGCAGCTCGGTCATTGGCTGCATGCCGAAAGTGCTGTCATAGCTTGAAATGCAAATGTAGTCAGGGCTCAGAGAAAATTGCTTTGTTACTTTCGTCCCGTGTTACTTTCGACCCGGTTCTCCCCTACTTCAAAAATAATCAATTCTATGCATACGATAGATAGGTTACAATTTATGAAGATAAGCTTTCCTATATGCAAGAAAATAGTGCCATATTGAGTAAATTAAATAGTCTTTTTTTAATATTTATTGATTATAATTATTTTTAATATTTTCATGAATTAAATACAATTTTTACCAATAGAAAAGTATCAAAGCATCATGAAACAACATTTAGTTTACTCTGACATATACCATGGGATTTACAGATAATTACGTTTTAAATAGCATGAATATGGCAATCATTCGCATGGTTGGTAGGCCTATATACCAAATACGACTACTATTACCATTTTGGGAACACTTTACAAACATTAGTTAATGTATTAACTAACATAAACTAACAATGAGCAAAATATTTGTTACTGTATTTGTTAATCTTTGTTAATGTTAGTGAATTAAAATAAAACTGTTCATTGTTTGTTCATGTTTGCTCACAGTGCATTAACTAATGTTAACAATATTATAATAAAGTATTAGCAAATGTTGAAATTAACATTAACAAAGATTAATAAATGTTAGTTAGTAAATGTTAATAGTTAATGTTAACTAATGAAGCTTATTGTAAAGTGTGACCACCATTTTATACCAAATGTTGTGTGATTGGTCTATAATTTTTTACTGTCATTATATATACAGTATATATATATATATATATATATATATATATATATATTTAAACTCACTTTACAGTGTAAACAAACACAGTATCAATTCTTGTTCTTTCAAGTTTCTGTGGGAAAATATCAATGTAAACCTGAAAAACATAATCCATTCAAGATTTGCTACTTTATAATAGATTGAAATCATGTGCTTCTTAAATGTTAATCATAACCATCTTTTGACTGTTTGTAAATGTTATACAAATCATTCTTCCCTCAGTTGTTTTGGCCTTGACATATGCATTGTCTACAATGTTTCCTTTAAAGTAAGTGAGTGGGATTGACAAACGCACATTCCTCAGAGACTACAAAACTGATTCAAGGTCGATTTAAGAAATGCTTCTCTGGTATAGCTTTGTATTGCAGTATGCTTATTGATTTAAGATTTAACCACAATCATTTTCAATTTCATAAAGCAGTGATAAGATGCAAATGACGGTCGTCAGACAGTGTGGGACGGCTGACTCATTATTTACAGGATATGTCTCTTCTCTTGCATGCAAATCTCTTTTTCGGGGTGGGTCATCTTCCCCTACCTATGTCACCGATTTTTCTCATGACACCGTTTCCTGGAGGTACGCTCTATTTGTAGAGGGTTTGTAGACAATACATCCTGCTCGTTGGTGTTCTGGTTATCACTTCTTGAACATCCACCAGGAAGGATGTGCTGTGGATATTTTGCACATTGTGGGAAATCAAGATCAGTGATTCAGTGGAGGTGAAGAACTCCTGGAGTCTTCCAGGTTTCCCTGCTAATACGATTTAAAATGATTTGATTAGCTTATGCAGAAAATAGGGTTTTATAGTGAAAGTTTGTCTGCTTAACATGAATGTAAATGTAAGATTATAGTTTCAGTGTTGGTAAATACTTATTTTTTCACACTAAAAGAAAAAAAACTCGTAGAAAACAGTAGTTCATTGATATGATAAATTCAGATGACTCATCCAATAAATACAAATAACATCTCACTACCGGTCAAAAGTTTAAATTCTTCATGTTTTTTATGTTTTATGTTCACCAATGCTGCATTTATTAGATCAAAAAGTGATTAAATTTGCATTTATTAGATTTTTTTTCCCTGTGAATAATTACTCCAGTCTTCAGTGTCACATGATCCTTTAGAAATCATTCTAATATGCTGATTTGCTTCTAATTTATTTCTTATTATCAATGTTGAAAACAGTTGTGCTGATTACTATTTTTGTGATTTTTTTCAGGATCTTTTAAGAAAGTTTAAAACAACAGTTTTTATTTGAAATATATATTGATATGTCGCTTTCCACTTTTTTTTTCAGATTAATTTAATTGATCCTTAATAAATAATATTATTAATTTAAAAACCAAATATTTTAAACAGTACAGTGTACATTTCAGCATAAATATAATATATCTTAAATATAACAATATTTCTCTGTGATTCATTTCTTTCTGGATGTTTGACGTGATTTGCATTATGCAAGTATAGTCTTTTAGTGTTGTTGTTGTTATTATTATTAGATATATTACTTTACATCATTTAAACACTGAAACTGTGGTTGTGGTTTAGATCACTTTGAAAATGAAATCAAGATGTTTTCACATGAGGCTTCACGGATGTCATTTGAACCGCTTCGTCCCTTTGAGGCGAGAAACTCCAGTGTTGTTTTCAACTTCATTGTAGAGATCTTCATTTCAGCTTGCGAATGATTCTGATTCTTGACCTCTGGGCCAGTAGGGAACACTTCTTTTCACACGTAGATGTGACGACGGGTGTCAGAAAAAGAACAACATCGACGCAGTTTCCGTTGTCAAAACAATGACAGCCGCACTCCTCTCTTTATTTACAGGAAACACAATGTTCCTTCCTCTCTTCTTCTGGCAGCAGAAAATAGACCCACAGCTGACTGCAGAAAGACACTGCTGACCGCTCATCTCCCTAATTGTCTCTTCCTCTATATTTAACCATTCGGTTGTATTACATTTCAAGCGTTCCGCCGACCTTTGATCTCAGTTGACCAGAGAAGGTCTAATATTAGAAACCGAAGCTAAAAATGCTCTGGGAACTCTTTTGGGGGATTTTGCAGCTCTCTGGAAGTTGTGTGAACCGCCTCGGATGTGGAGAGTGGGTTTCTCGTGAGAATGCGGCGCTGTCCCGTCAGTGGCGCAGGGGGATGTTTACAGAGGGCACGTGGGGTCTTCAGAGCATCACTCACAGGAGTGTGTTGGGGACGACGGCAGGTCTGCTCTCGGCACCCCGCTGATACTTTAACAGGCCGTCCTGCTCAGTGCTGTGCTGTCTGTGTTTGTGATTAGATTCATGGCCCGCTCTGTTTACAGAGCAAAGAACTTACAGCTCTGACCACATACTGCTTTATAGTCAAGTGAAAGTGACGTGCTCAATTTTTAAGGTTCAGAAATCTAACTCCTTTACATGCACAATCTTTATTTTAATCC